AGCCCAGGAGTAATTCTAAGTTCTGAAGCCAGTGCCTCTTTAGATTAGACATTACAGTCCCCTGCCCCTTTAAAAAGATTTTTTTTTTTTTTGGAGATAAAGTCTCACTCAGTAGCCCTGGGGGTGAGTGCCCTGGGGTTATTGCTCACAGCAAACTCAAACTCTTGGGCTTAAGTGATCCTATTGCCTCAGCCTCCTGAGCAAGTAGCTGGGACTATAAGTTCCCACCACAACACCCAGCTATTTTTAGAGACCTGGTCTCGCTCTTGCTCAGAGCTGGTCTGGAACTCATGAGCTCAAGCAATTCGCCTGCCAGAGTTGGGAATACAGGCGTGAGCCACTGCACCTGCCCCTAAAAATTATTTTTAGACACTGAAAATTAAGTCTTGTCACAAATTTTTTAAACAATTTTTCTATGTTTCTATATATAAGAATATCAAGAGTTAGATGAAAAAATGAGAGCAATAGTCTAAGGTTTGACAAATACAAGATTCTCAGAAAAAGGAGTTTTTTCTTAAGAATACACAGGAAAAAATAATTACAGATAGATATTTTTTAAAGTCATGTGTATAAACAGAAAGTATCAATTGTAATTACTTAACAAATCAGCAATAGGATATTCCAGATTAGACATCTGAGGCCAAAACATCTTCAAGTAAAGCTTTACATAGTAGTGAGAAATATCATAATGAATCATAATAGTGGCCTTTGCCCTAACTTATTTCTTAATACCAGAGTAAATAATTTAGATATATGCAATATATGTATTTTGTAATCTTGTCTTAAATATTCTCTATTTTATACTTTATTATTTACTCTCTATTTTATATTCTCAACTATCTTATTTCAATATTCAAACATGTATTTCAATCCTAATGTTTTATAGAAACTATTGGATATAAAAGGGAATTTTCATTTCTCTTTCTAAAATGAATTTTGAGTCTACAGTAGCTAAAAACCTACAAATGTAATAAATATAAAATGATGTGACCATTTAGTCTATCTGGTTCAAAACTCGAAGCTTATAAATAGAATACTAAAGTGGAAACATGCTTGTTGCATTTGAAATATAAAGCAAGAAGGCAGTGTGACTGGAGAAAGTGAAGGAGGAGGCAAGTGGAAGGACATCTCCCTACTCTAACATGGTTTTTCTTTTTTTAATAGTACTCACCTTCTAATATATTTTATTTAATATAAATTTACTTGTTATAGCTATAGCTTTACTTTTTCCTATCATACTGTAGCACTGTTGTATTTTCTTCATCCTTTCTCAATGAACCAGTGGAACAGAAATCAGTGCAACATAAATTAAACTGTCTCTTGACTCCCCCTTTAACTTCCTTCCTGCCGCCCCTAGATAGCCTTCCAATGAATCTTTCTTTTTTTTTTTTTT